TCAGCAGGATGTGTATATGTCAGAGTTCTGAGCATGTTCGAACCCAGCTATTATTTACTGAGATCTTTCTACACATCAGACATGGGACAGTCACATGCATATATTTGCTTATTTGCTCCATAAAACAACCCCATGATGTAAGTGGATCCCATTTTTTGCAAATGAAGAAATGGGCTCAGAGAAATAAGATTGCTTGCCTAAAGTCACATAGTTACTGAGAGGTGTTGCTGGGTTTGGAACATGGATCTGAATCTGCCCCAGTTAGGGATGATTATACACACGAGAAGTGTCATGGGAGGTACTGAGATGCCACCCAGGTTGATTGGATCATTTTATGTGCCCATAGACATGGTACCTGGAATCTTCACAGCCGTCCTCTGAGTGGGGCTTGTAGCCATCTCATGTAAAGCAGAAGTCTTAAATATGAGACTTGGTACCACAGATGGCATAATGGTTATGTCACTGGACTCCCACATAGTTGACCACCAGCAGTTTAAAACTCACACCAGGTGTGTGTGCATGTGTGCCCCAAATCCCGGGAGAATAAAGAATGAACTGTGTGGCCATCCCCCCTCGAGGATGATTTCTAGCTCTCTGTCTCTCTGGCGAGTGCACGTGCCCTAAATCTCTCTTTAAATATATATATATATATATTTAAAGTATACACACACACACATATAAAATACTTGACTGAAGTTGAACCACTTATAAAACCAGGGCTTTCCATATGTCATTATAATCACTCATCTCTTCCCAGTGGAAGATTGGAAGGATATACCAAGAGAGACCAACTTATTAATAAGGCTCAAACGTTGCTCTTTCTGTTCAGTAGTTGGACTCTTACTCTGTTGGCCAAATTATGTGTTAGGTCCCCTTGGGGTTTTTTGCAATGTTAGAGACTTCTGTTTTTGGATCAAAGTTAGTGATGATTCATCTTTCAACATTTCAGAGTTTATTACTAATAAACAGATTTAGCAACAGTGTGACCAAATGACAAGTGCCTGCTGCATATCTAGTACTATACTAAGAACCTGGGGGTTACAAAAGAATAAATTCAAGATAAGAATCTGCCAGAGCTGATGCCAGCATTGGTAGAAGTGTCTGGATCAGATGACTGTTCAGATATATTATTCTTGGTCAGTAAGGCCCATGCCTGTTTGAATCAGTATCAGGTTACTCTTACAATAATAGTAGTAATAAATAAACATATATACATACATCCAAACGTGTATACATATGCAGAAACATGTTAAGCCTAATGGGCAGCAGAGGAAAGCCCCCTGACTTTGGGGAGTCAGATCTCTACCTTGCCATACTGGCAAGGTGATCCTAGCTAAGTTATTTACTTTCTTTATGAGCCAATAAAAATGTGGATAATTAGAATCTACTAATTGCAGGGTTGGAGACCAGCTTGAATTCTTTAACATGTGTAAAAGCGGCTGACTATCCTTCGTGCATTGTAGATACATAATAAATAATACAAGAAATGATTGTACTTCACCCTGGGCTGGTTGGTGGAGGAAAGGGTCTACAGGTGAAAGAGGACTGTGTCTTATCCTTGTAGTTGAGAGTGCACTAGAATGCCAGGTCCTAGACCCTTTCAACAGAGATGTGGAGCTGGCTTTGCATTCTCTAATTCACAGTCTCTGTTACAGGACCTGTGGGTACAAGTCGAATGCTCCCTGCTATAAATGCCTAGTTATGACAGAGGGTTTACTTTCTTTCTTTCTTTTTTTTTTTTTTTTTTGGGTAAGTTTTTCTCTATTGGATG